TCCAGACGGAAAAAAATTCTCAGCTGAGTCCTTGTTTCTGATTTAGAGCAAAAACAACCACCCGTGAGCATAAACGTATGCACGGTCAAAGATCGACAATCCTACTGCTTTCTTCCGCATGACGTTTAAAAGTAGATTACATTTCTAAATTTAAATTAATGAGGTAACTGAGGCTCTAGATTCTGAGAGTTAGTACGGTTTACTTCGGTTTTACCACTGGCTAGTCTGCTGTGCGGACATTCGCTGGCAAAATCGTCCATGATTCGGCTGTGTGCCCCAAAATCGCATTTAGACGAAGCTCTGAATGTTTATATGTGCATCCAACATGCAAATCTATATATCAACTTTTCAAGCAGACCTTGCTTTCAGCTGCAGATCGAAGAGAAAACACTTTCTGAATGCTGGGTCATGAACTGGACATTTTATGGTCCTTTACTGTATTATTCCACAATTTCACCACCTCTCTCAGCGATGAGTATTCATAACTCCTCAGAATGTAAGTGTGTCTCCTTCAGATAGCGATACGATAGTATCAGAAGGTCTACCTGCGATTTTTCCATGTCTCTGAAGCTCAACTCTTTGTCGTCAGATGTGTGGATGATAAATGTTCGATGAGACAAGAGACTACGGTATTCGAGGTTCTTTAACTTCTTCAACTCATTCGTGCCTCTGATGCAATTGCTTATCCTCGACTTATTTTGCAACTGAACGGCAAAACGGAGGACCGTGGCTTCTTTACCCAACTATTACCACCTTAGCTGACGAATTGACTGCTGCCGTAACTCCGTAACGGTCGTTTAAACGAGGAAGGCCGCTCAAGTATAGAATTCAATTTTTTGGCCATCACAGAATGCATGTTGAGGAATCTCTTAACGGCACGAAGGTTTTGCAGCTGGATTGACTTCACTCCCACGAAGTCAAGATTCACCATAAAAATAGTACTGTATTGCCAATCACAGACCTGATGGAACTGAGTATCATGCAAATAGAGCAAATAGACATCAACGAGCATCTGTGGAACTTCTGCAAGACGAAAGGTGATTGAAAACGTAAACATGAATAAAGGTGGTGGATAAACAATGTTGCAGAATTGGTAAACACGCTTCTTTGAGTGTTCTACCTTCGTATTTGCTGATTAACGCTTCTTTTAATTCATCGTCGAAGGAAAACATTGCCAGCACTTTTCCACCAAACGTTGCCTTCTGTGTCATAACCTTACGGTCAAGACCCTAATTGATCTTGTCCACGTTGACGCATGGAAACCTTTTAGAATTTCACAGTGTCATCGATCTCCACGTCCGACCATTTTAGCGTTTTCATTCATTCATTCATTCTTCATTCACCATTCTTTCGATTCAAAGCCCGTGATTTTTTTAATCCCTTAGGCAGGTGCTTCAGGAGTCATTTGCAATAGTTTTGATCGCCATTGCCTGAAGTTTACTGTTCGACAATCAGAGGCTTTTGGTATGGTCAATTCACCTGGTTCCCATTTCGGTCTTTTTCGATTCATGAGATCAGATCAACACCGTTTGAAAATATTTGTCAATAATATTTGAATAAAATCAGAATAAATCAAAATATCTGATTGAAATTGCTTCTTTGCTCTCGATGAGAAGTTCGCAGGCGCTGGTGTGTTTTGTCAATATATGGAAGAATTTATTCAAAGCTAAAGACATCAAAGGTAAAGTCTAACAATCGGTGCACAGTGACC